AACACTAAATATTGAAAGAGGGAATGGACCTGCTTAGTAATATACCTGGAGGCAGGACAAGAACGTTCCCTTCAGAATGTGAGGAATTCTGAAGGTAATGTTCAGAATTATTAATTATTAATATTAATGGGACAAAAGAACAGAAACCAGGTACAGGAAGCAAGAGAGCACACTGGAATTGGGAGAAGAGAAGGAATGTAATTTGCAGACAGAGTCACCATGATGAGTGTGACTTTGGGGTATTAATGGGTAATGAGTATTTATTAATTTTGTAATGACTGAGTAATGTCTATATAAATACATTTATTTGATGTAATATGACAATATATTAAATTATGTCATATCAGTATAACAAATATATTGATATTGTTAGAAATTCAATCAATTCTGGTAAATAAAGCCCTTGACAACTAGGCAGTCACTTCCCAATTCCAGTCCCCTCTCCAGCAGTAACCTGTGAAGAGTTTTGCGGACATTTCAGAATTTATATATTATAATAATATAAATATTGTATATATATTACCTATAATGTGTTATAGATATTATATATACATTACAAATATGGAAATATAATATTGTGGATAGTTTTATGTACATGGTATTATACCAGAAGCATCATGCGACTTTCACTTGTGTTTGCTTTTTTTACCTAATATATGTCCAGAAAATCTTTCCACCTAAGTGTACATAGCTTGACCTCATTTCATACAATCGATGGGTGTCCTATAATTTAGCCATTATAGATATGTGTGACTAAATAGGACATTATATCGTCATTTCAGGTAACCAATGAATGTCCTACAATTGAGCCAACAATTTAGCCAAGAGTTATCCTATGTGTATATTTAAGTCCAAACAACGTTGCAATAAATATCCTAGTGTGCCTTTATGTCTATAAGAAAATGTGGCTCTAAATTAGAAACCTAGAAGTAAAGTGCCTTGGTCAAATTGCATATGCATTTTGAATGTTAGTAGTTATAGCCAAATGTCCCTTTAAAAGGCGAGAACTGTGAAGGGGCTGACATTTTACCCTACTTGCTGGCTATTAACTTAGCCTACCACAATTTCATAGATACTGGCAGAAGATACAGCACTGCTGGGTCAGAGACAAAAGGACTTTATTACTCACAGCAATGGTAGCAGCCAAAGGGTCCACATTTTGTTGTGCAGATTTCTCAGGTGCAAATATGCATAGGGCCAAGTGAAGAGGGCCAAGTGACACCTGCACACTTGGTGTGTTTTATGTGATGAATACCTTGAGCTTAGGGAACCTGACTCTTTTATGATGGTTGTTAGGCATGCCTGTCCTGTGATCCAGAGGGAGATACTATCTTGATTATGTTGGATAATACACAAACATAACCTTTACTCCTTAGGGAGATAGAGCCTCTGTCTTCCAAGGCTTTTTGCTCTACAAATATTCTTGAAAAGATAGTCTCTAACACAATTAGGGCTTCTGCTCACAAGATGTGCAGAAATAGGAGACCCACAAGAAATATTTCCCAACAATTTACTTCAGAGAGGTTTTGTACTGGCTTCCTTTGGGAACCGTGGTGTGCTACTAACCTGTGGATGCATTAAACCCTTTCCAAATTAATTCAGGAGTATCAGGTTCAGTCCCCGCAACTCTTGCTGCTGACTCCAATCTGAATCTCCTAATTATAGTGCTGATACTGTGTTTGCTTTCAGGAAAACCAGTTTTTCCCAAGTGCTTAGCCACCATGCCAGGAATCAAAATATAATGCCTGTTTTTGCAAATCAGAAAGCATTTTGCTCATGCGTAGGGATCAGCTACTGGTCCTATCCAGCTCATTGTTGCCCTGTATGTATGCAAATCAAGTGTTGACTTACATTCCAATGTTTCAAGAGAAGGGAAAAATCTGTATTATGATGTGAAAACCTCTAATTTTCAAATGTGAGTGAATTAATTCAAGTTGATTAATAATATTTTCAGCAATGTGAGATGCAACAGAGAAACCGTAGAGGATAAGTAAAGAACAGTACCTTTGACATTTAGGAGCTTATTGGTGACATGCCCTCCTATACTCAATTATGGCCCTGTTCACAAAGCTTCCATAACATTTTATATACCTCCCTCCTATAATGTGTCACATTGGCTCATGAGTTTTTGGGGGGTTTTTGCCCAATTTAGATAAAATATATTTACTGTCCTAGAGGCAATTAAACTGAAACCTTTGGGATTAATCTTCTGTACCAGACATTATTTGTCTCATCTGACAAATATAATTCATATGTTATATATAGTTTTTTGTACGTTAATATCTAATCTTACAGAATTGTAAAAAGTGTCATGGTACACAAAAATTTTTAGTCAATGTTGAAAGTCGTGTTCAGAAGTAATTTTCAACACTTTGATTTTAACTATAATGTCACATTCCACAGCTCATGTGGTTCACAGTTGTCTCTTGGGGAGTTGAAGTTTTTTTGTTTTTTGGTTTTTTCCTATTATTGCTGCTGTGTATTATTTTCAGAAGGAATTTAGATGCCATCTTGGATCCTTAAGAATATGTTTTTAATTAAAATATAATTGCAATATAACAGTATATTAGTTTTAGGTATACAACATGTCTAGTTAACATCCATCACCACGGGGAGTTTTAAAGTCATCCCCAGCTGGAGGCCATGTGTAAGAGGATCTCAGAACCTTCTGGGTATCTGCACTAGAAGTGTTCTTCACCACAAAAAGACCCAGGAGACTTCTTTGGGCCTTGCCTGTGACCAGATATATTTATTACTATACCACATGTATTTTGATCTTATAGATCAGTTTGGGAAAAATTGACATCTTACAAATGGAAATACATTTGATTTTTGTACGTTGACCTTGTATTTTGCAAGTTTGAACTTAGTTCAAGCAGTTGTTTTATTTCTTTTTAAAGATTTCTGCAGCCTTTCTATGTGTTGTCTGTGAATAAAGACCATTTTATCTTTTCCTTTCTGTTCTATTAGCTGTAGTTTTGGTTTCTTCGTTTTGTAAATACCATACATTAGCAATGATATTCCTTCCTATGCCAGTTTGCAGCGTTTTTGTGTTTTTTTGTTTTTGTTTTTTTTACCATGAATGAATGCAATCACCATTCCCAGGTTGATTTCCAAATGAACCTGCCTTGTGCTCTTGAGATAATCCCCATTTGATCTTGATGTCTTATCACTTTTATACATTGCTGGATTTGATTTGCTTTTGTTTTGTTGAGGGTTTTTGCACCTATGATCATAAGGGATATTGCTTTATAATTTTCTTTTCCTGTGATGTCTTTGTCTGATTTTGGTATCAGCATGATGCTAGCCTCATAAAATAAGTTAGGAAGTATTCCCTTCTCTTCTATATTTTGGAAGAATTTGTGTGGAACTTTTTGATGTTATTGTTGTTAAATGTTTAATTGAATTTACTAAGGTGGCAGTCTGCACCTGGAGTTTTCTTCGTTTGAAGTCTTTAACTTCTATTTCTTTAACTGACATCAAACTATTCAGATCATTTATTTCTTTTGGAATGATGGTTGGTACTTTGTATCTTTAAAAGAATTAGTCCATCTCATCTAAGTTGTTGAATTTATGGTCATTAAATTGAGCTTAACATTCTCATTATTTTTTTAATGTCTGTAGGATCTGAGATCATGACTACCTTTACATTCTTCATTTTCTATATTCTTTCTGTTTTTCTCTTTGGTCAGTCTGGTTAGAGGTTTATCAATTTTACTGATCTTTTTATAGAACTAGCTTTTGGTTTTACTGATTTCTGTATTGTTTACCTGTTTTCCACATTATTTATTTCTGCTCTTTATTATTTCCTTCCTTTTGCTTGCTTTTCTCTTTCCAGTTTTGTAAGATGGAAGATAAGATTAGATAATTGATTTGAGTCTTTCTTCTCTTCTAATATAAGAATTTAATGATATAAATTTCCTTCTACATATTTCTTTAACTACACCCAACAAATTTTGACTTGTTGCGTTTTCAATTTTATTCAATTCAAAATGCTTGATTTCCCTTATGACTTCTATTTCATCCATGGGTTCACTTGGAAATGTGTGGCTTAATTTCCAAATACTGGGGAATATTCTAGATTTTTTTTTTTAAATATTGATTTCTACATTAGTATATTATAGAAAGAAAACATTCTTTACAAAATTTCTATTCTTTTACATTTTTAAGGGTCGCTTTATTGCCCAAGATAGAGTCAATAGTGGTTAAAATTTCTTGTGCACTTGAAAATAATAAGTATTCTGTGGTTATTGGTGGAGTGTTCTATAAATAACAATCTATAGGTCAAGTTGATTAATAGTGTTTTTCATATCTCCTGTATACTTAATGATTTCTGTCTCCTTGTTCTATCAATTGTTCAGTAAAGAGTGTTGAAGTCTCCAACTATAATTGCAGATTTATCTAGTTCTCCTTTTACTTCTATTAGTTTTTGCTTCATGTATTTTGAAGCTCTATTAGATGGTTACACATTTAGTATTGTTATATTTTCTTGGTAGTTTGACCCATTTATCACTATGTAATGTCTCTCTTTACACTGTTCTGAAACCTACTTTGTCTGATATTAAAATAGGCACTTTCTTTTGGGTGTTTGAAGGACATATCTTTTTCTGCACTTTTAATCTAGCTATGTCCTTGTATTTAAAGTAAGTTTCTTTTCAATAGAATATAGTACAGTCCTATTTTTTTAATCCAGTCTAAAAATTTCTATATTTTAATTGGTGTGTTTAGAGCACTTATATTTGATGAAATTATTGATATGGTTGGTGAGTGTAATAATTTTTAATTTGTATCTGTAAATTCTAAATTATTAACCATCTGTATATTTGAAGCACATTGCACAGAATATGAACTTGATATGTTTATTAAGTTTATATTTCTTTCAGATCCATTCTTTTTCACTCTACTGTTGACTTGTTCTAAATATAGTATCTCTAGTAATTTTTTTCATATAAGTTATAAGTGAATAGAATAGCTATTACACTTAATTTTTTCTTTTCTGAAAATACTAGGTTTTATTCACCTCCCTGTCGTAACCAATAACCATACTATTAGTTAATAAGATTTCTTTATAGTAACTGTCACCTGAAATACAAAAATCCATTAACAATCTAAGTTATCAGGTGTGGTCTTACTGGAAATTCTTAACCATATACTTGTCTTGACAAGTGTTGTTTTTTAAATGATGAATTGTCTTAGTATAAGTCACTGTATTTCTGTAACAAAGTAATGAAAGGCACAGCTAGTGCAAGCGAACTTAAACCCATTCAACTACCCGCTGAAAAAATACTTTGGTTCTTCAGGAAAAAAATTAGCAAGACAAAAAATCTGGTTCATTTCACAGTTCTGTTCATTTTCATAACTGTAATCTAATAGTTACAAGATAAAAATACTCCAGGAAGAACCAAATATGTAGCAATGAACAAACATGCGTGAGAGAATTTGTGCATTCAATGTATCTGGCAGAAAAACTAGTTAAAATGCTAAGTAGGACAAATTTGGTCTTTAAAATATCAGTTCCTTTCCTTTAAAAAAAAAACTTGAGTCTACCAAGAAAATACACAAACATAAGGCTATAAGTAAATAATAGCTGTGTTTAGGCTATTACAGTGCAGGTTATCCTCAAGGCCACATACATCTTGCTTCACTGCTGCTGGCACTCTGCTGGGTTTTGATCCTTCTTTGGGTCATAGTCTGGATCATTTTCCTCATCTCCTTCTTCTTCCCCTTCCTCATCCGCTTCTTCATCATCTTCATCATAATCATCATCATCATCTTCAATAGCTTCTCCAGTAAAGTATAACACTGATCTTGGGATTATGCACTCACGTAAAAAGTGACCAATTTCAAAGTCCACAGCAAGGATAGCTTCAGCATCACCACCCAGATCTCCACTCTCAGGAACTTCAGGAGGGGCAAAAAAATTAAAGAAAGAGTCATTAGAAACTGTTTTGGTCACAGTACAAACTGTCCCACGTCCCTTGTGTTTCTGCTTCTTCTTAATGGTTTTCAAAGTGACATTCTTCCCTTTTTCCCAGTCTATCTGGCACCCTGTACAACCCATAATTTCTGGTCCATCAAAAGAAAAAGGATCAGAATCACCTGGTTCTGACCTCATCCTATATGTCTTTGTCAACACTTCATTTGTGAAATATTCATTGGGTTCAAAGTGAAATTCTAAGACAAAACTCATAGGCTGACCAGCATCTGAGAACTTCACTTCAGTCTTTCAAGTGCTTCAGAATAGGTTCATCATGTTCCTGAACCATGTCACTGAGCAAGTCAACATTCTTAAAAACGGTCAACCAAAAGTCAGGAATTCCTTTGGGGTCTTCTTTTTCTTCATCCTTTTTCTCATCTTCAGTCTTGGCCTTTTCTTTTAGCTCCTCCGAAATTTCATCTTCCTCATCCGGTTTCCGTTCACATTCTTCTTCTGTAGGTTCATAAATGGCATTAATGATCTCAAATCGCTTCTCAAATAGAGGTTGATAGAGAACAGCATACTTTCTTTCAAGATCATGAACTTCCTCATAGAACTTGGCTTCTGTCTGTGCACATTTAACTTGAAGGTTTTTGAGAGCATTCACATGTCTTTTAACTACCCTAGGCAAGCTTTCAATGTATCCTGTTGGTGTTTCTACGAGACCATCAAGTCTTTCTTGAAAGGCTGCAAGAATCTGAGGATTTTGCATCATCTGAACAGTCAGCTGACGCGCTTTGATTTTTGTTTCTTCACCAGTTTCTTCTTCTTCTACTTCTTCAGCATCATCCAAATCTTGATCAAGTTCAGACTGTTCTTTGTTGTTGATGTCTGCCATGTTGTATGAACGCCAAATACCGGTGGCTAGCACGGGGAGCCAGGCGGCCGGAGCTGCGCAGGCAGTGACTCAGGGCGGCGGCGGGAGGAGCAGAAGGCAGCGCGGCCAGCAGATGGCGCTAAAAAAGCTACCCTTATTATGAATGCATTTCTCATGTCTATACAGGGTAAAAGTAATATAGTAGCTGCTGAATATATCAATCAGTGAATATTAGATTGCTTACCATTCATCTTTCTATTACATGTTTTACTTTTAATAATAATAGTATGAGTCTGTTGAAACAAGAAGAAAAAAGGAATAAATTGATAAATGCCTTGATGCAAAAATCAGTAGCAGCATATGGTCATGAATAAGGTATCACCATTTCAATATCTGTGCCTGTTTTAGTTCCCAGCAGTATTACCTTAGAGAAGACCTTTGCCCTACAATAGACAATACCACTGGTGTTTGAAAAAGGTGCATTATTTCTGAGAAGTAGGAGAACATGATAATGGTTTAACTTTAGCATGTTTATGACAATAGTGAGCCTAGTGTTTTTTTTAATCCAAAACACTATTAACCTTCCCCATGGCAAATAAACGTTTAATTTAAGAGCAAATGTTCTAAGGAATCATTACTTTCTAACTGGAGAATTCCAAAGGTGAGCTGAGAGAAAAGAAGGTTGCAGAGACACTCAATAACCCTTATGTAATCCTGGCAGATAGAAGGTGGCATTAGTTAGATAAGGGGGAAGAAAAAGAATATTTTAACTTAGGGTTTTCAGTGAATCTTATTCCCACACTTCACACAAAACCCAACTGATTTTTAAGCGTGATGGTAAATGATACCTAGACTAATCCTGAAAGTAAGCAACATCCCATTTGTCCCAAGCCTGAAAGAAAGCTCAGTTTTCCAATGGATCATAAATTATTCCATTGACTCGTTTTGTTAGGTTTTGTTTAGTTTTCTTATGACTGGGAATTTGTACAAGTTTAGTATTTGTCACATGCAGGTGTATATCTGTGTCATTCTCCATTTATTTATTCATTCCGCAGATATTTATTAAGTATTTTAGGCACTGTTATAGATGCTGAATAGGACTATTACCATAAAAAGCAGTTCTGAGAGTAGATTCTGGAGATAAGAACCCTTTTTAATCTTGGTAGGACAAATGAGCATATTGAAGCTGCCAAGAAGCCTTCTGAAGTCTTAGAAATAATATGCAAGACTAACAATGTATTTTTATAATGGATAAAGTTTTAATAAGACTTAATTAGATTGTGATTGGAGTCTATCAGAAATGTAGAACTCCAGAAAAATATGCTGATATTAATAAGAAAAAAATTGAAATTCTCAGTATCGTCAATGGGATAGGATATCCAAAACTCATTAAGAACTATTTCAAGTATGCAGTGACTCAACTTGGAAGGATGCAATTTGAAATTAGTGATGTTTTGAGTAAGGATATGGTCTTTGTTCAAGAGCCATCATTACTATTACCCCACTTAAGAAGATGGAAATGTTTTTTGAGTTTATATAAAAGCGCCGGGCTGCTAACTATTATTGTTCTATGTGAAGCTACTGCCCCTCAACCAAAACGCAGGCTTATAAAAATCACAATGACAGCTACTTCAGACCTAAGTAACATTGTCATCTATCTTCACTTCTCACTCTAGGGTTGTACTAGACTGACTATAAGTGTGTAATATTTAAGAAGCCACTACCCATGTGGTCCAGTCACAGAATGATGCTCAAGTTAGAGACACAGAGCTCACTGTCGAAAAACAATTCAAAATAAACTTTTCTCTTACAGCATCACTACTTTATTTCCTTTCTACTTTTCTCACATATTATATTATATTATACTATATTACATATTATAGATATTCCCTCATTTCTCACTTTGGACCTTACAGAAAACTATTTTCTCCAGCCCTGGCAAACATGTTCATCTTATCCTCCTGCCTTGCCCCTTTTCTAATTAAATGTCATTATAAAATCTCCAAATCATCGGTCAGGCAAGTTGGGGAAAGAAAATCTAAGTGGGAAAAGCAAGATTCCATTTAGAAGAAGATTAGAAAAGTTAGGAATCTTAATAGAATATTAATTTTGGTTTTGCTACATGGGATTTTCAGGCCTTTGCATACTAAGACTTAGTAGAGTCTTAATCTTAAAGGAGTGTCATGGGACATTTATTCCAACTCACAAATGAGAAACTTTTTTCATAAAGTTTAAATGATCTTCCCCTGATTAAGTCGTAATATTCAAGGTGCATCTGGGAATCCATTGTCCCAGCGGTGTGCTCATTTTCTGAACACTGCACCCACCGTTGTCTACAGAAGAAGCCAGCAAACTTTGGCTCTTGGGCCAAATTTGGCCCACTGCCTGTTTTTGTCAATAAAGTTTTATTGGAACACAGCCACACTCATTTGTTTACCTATTGCCTGTGACTGTTGGCACAGTACAACAGCAGAGTAGAGTAGTTGCAACAGAATCTATATGGTTCACAAAGCCAAAATTATTAATTAGCAGACCATTTACAGAAGGCCCCTTTTCAAAAGTAGGCTATCTATTAATTAGTGTGAGGTCCTTCAAGATAGGAATACCCCTCACGCACACCACCACCCCTGACATATGAACACAGTCTTATTACAGGATTCTATCAACTCCCCTGGTAAATCACAAATGATCTGAGAAAGGCCTGCCGTTTCCTAGGAGGTAAGGAATAGAAGTGGTATTAAATGAAAACTCCCTGAGGTCCCTTAAAATAGCTCACATTTATTTACTGTTTATCCATTTCCTGGCACTGTTCTAAATATTTCATAGTATTAACTAATTTAATATTCACACCAAACCTATCATCTATTATTAACCTTTACAGTTTAGGAAACTGATTAAGTAACTTAAGGCAATACAGCTGTGAAGTGGAAGTCAGGTTTCAAATACAGTGTCTCCAAAGCCCACAGGCTTAAGTTCTAAATGAGTTTGCCTCCCATAAATAGTTTTTTAAAAAGTAAAAAGTAAAAAAGTAAAATAAAAACCACCTTTATTTATTGTTTTTGCAAACGCAGTGAACCCAGCAAAGGTGTGTTTGGATAGCCAAGGTTGGTTTGGGGTAATCTGTGATAATGTTTGTAAAGTTCCTTTAAAGCATTTGTCCAACAAATATTTGTTGACCACCTACTGCATGACAGACCCCACTTTATTAAGTGAAGGCAGTCCCTTCCTTGACAACACTTACAATTTAGCAAGAATTTCATTTCTCCAACTTTCAGGCGAAGAGTAAGGGCACAAGCATCAGGAGTCAAGGGCTCTCGTGGGAATGAGGTTATGATGTTCTTTTTGACATCAGATGATTATGTTGAATGAAGAGCAGGCATATTGGTAAGATGAAAGGAATATGGACTTTAGAGCCAGAAAGTAATGAATTTCAATTTCAAACTTGAGTTTAGAGAAGTTACTTCAAACTCTCTGAGTCTCAATTTTCTTATTTTTATAATTTATAATATAAAACTTCCCAGAGTTTTTTGTAAGGATTACATAAGATCATATACGTGATGAGCTCTGGTGTAATGTCAGCATCTTAGCTGGCACTCAATTAAAATTCTCTCATACTTTCCTTGAAAACTTTTATCTATAATTTCTCATATTTCAGTGCTGGCACTGAGTTCTTCCTCCTTGAAATACCATGCACATTTCCTTATGGAAAAACATTTCCCCCCAGGCATGCAGGGTTAGAATAGCTGCTGCATTTAGGAACATATCACAGTGATCCTTGTTCTTGTATTTATCTATGGATTTATATGTGTGTCTGTATATCTACAGATCATTGAAAAATCATCAAGCATGGATTATGTGTATATCTATACATTTATTATTTATGATTTATCTTTTCCTTTAGGTACATTCTAACTGTTATATTACCAACTCTTTAGGGTCAAGGACCTGAACCCTGCTTTGGTAACTAATTAGGCACTTTTGCACATTTGTCATAATGAAATATTTTAGGCTCTTTCAATTGAAAGGGACAGAGACTCACTAAGTTCACCTTAAATAATGGATATTTATTAGAAGACTACAGTGGAGAAATAACAGAAATCCAGGAGCAGCAGCATAGCCAACTCAGATAATGGAAGTCGGGGATTTTTTTGTTTTTGTTTTTTGATTTGCTTTTTCAGAAATTTGCAGCTCTGATATGAGCAGGGGAAAAAATGAGCTTATCTTTCTCTCTGTATATCACTTCAGCCACAATGACTGTATTTTATTATTTCTCTTCTCTCCTATGTCAGTGTCTTTTTTTTTTTTTTTTTTTTTT